AGTCGTGTGGTATGTACGTTTGTTGATATTTACATTGGTGTAAAATATTTACTTACAAATAATGAGGTTATCATAAATCAACTTAGCATTTTGATTAGCATAAAACAACAAAGTCACACGGAGGAGGCACACAAGCGAAACAAAACGAAGAATATTGACTGACAAAAATTTACATTTCATATTAAAATAAATGAAATTCTAATCGGAACTGGTCAAAGCGACGCGAATTGCTTAGAATTATTACTTAGTAGTAAAACCCAGCTGACGCTTCCTGTGCAGCAAGAAAATGAATGAACATTTATTTTCTAAAACTTTTGTTAAAGTTGAAATTTGTGAGTGCCAGATGGGGGAAAGATAAACTAATATGGGCGAATACGTATTAGAAATTACAAATCGATTAATATATTCAATACCCGCCTTTTGAGTTTCAAAAAGGACCAAAACTTCGAAAAGAAAAATAAATTTGAATCAAAGGACACATCTTTCATATCAGTTTGTACTCTAGCACTACTGAAAAGCTATGTATGTATGTATATGCAAATAATTGTGTATTTTTGATGGAATGCGGATGCCATACATACATACACTTCATTTAACAAATGCAGCATTCTTTCATTTTCCCAAATTCACACCTTTTCCCTACTACGGCAATACTAAAAATGATTCTCCTGGTTGGATCCTAACTTAGTTTGGAGAGGTCTTTGACTCATTATTAGTCTCACCGAGCCCGCTGCTAACTAACTTTTTTCTTTGATGCGCTACTAAGTATCCACAACAAAAGCGAATTTCAAAGTCTTTAATACGTACTTATGTAGCATATAATAATTATGTAATAATTCTATGAAAAAAAATAAGGCACTCATATAATATGTATATCGTTAAATAACAGAGGTCAGTAACTTCCATTAAATTTATGCCTCAATTCGCATTTTGAAACGCAGACGCATTTTTGTTTTTCTCTTAAGCAGACACTAAAGCAGTTCATTGAAGTAAAAAATATTTTTACCTTTCAAATTCTATGCAGCTTACTCTTACTATTATTAAATTTTTTAATGGTACACTTCCAGTCGTCTGCCAAATTGTGGATAAGATTTTTAATTTTTAGCATACAAAAATCCTGAATGACTGACTCACTGACTGCCTTTCCATTCACAGGTCCAGAATGAGCAGCACGTATGCACTTGTAATTATATCGGTATAAAAAATTATATAAAACCAGCACACTTGTATACATACATACAAGTACATAAGCATGCATTCATGCAACGATGAAACGAATGGTTGTTTTTTTTTTATTTCATTAATGCCGATAGCTAACCTACTCACCTACAGGCTACATGCTGTGCCATAAGTATTCATATCAGCATCCTTGCTGTGCTCATCGTGCTCCATGCGACAATTTCCTTTTTATGTTTGGTTGTTGTGCAAATAAAGAAGGCAAAAATATATTTAAAATAAAAAGCTAAAAAACAGTTCAACATCCTTTGGTGCTGGCTGCCGCTTCGTCAACTAAAGATATAGAATCTAAATAGGCAGAGATAGTTCTGACAAACCAGCTTTCAAAATAAATAAATGTGTTTGATATTTATGTTGAGTGTAGGGATGCTTCGAATGCCATATTTTTCACAATGCGGAAAGATATGTATTTTGTATGAAAAATGAGCAGGAAATAATGTTACTCATACGTCATGTACATCTGAAAATATCTCGAGAACTTATGCATGAAATAATAAATTAACTCGATTTTCGGAATCAGTGAACAATTCTATATAGGGACTCGATAGTGGCGTCCGTTGAACATTTTCCTGTAAATCGGTGTTATTTTTTAGTTTTAGTCATTTTTTAAATCCCTTCTGCTTTTTTGCTATATCTAGGGCCTTTTCCTCCCTACTTCGCTACTTTATTTTGCCTTTTCCTGCCTATTTCGTTATTTTATTTCGCCTTTAATAATATTTCGTTTTTAATAAAATAAAAATATTATTTGTCGCCAATCGGTATTTTTTTTTATTTTTGTAACTCATAGTTTAACCCTTAAAATTTGATCTCTATTTTTCCGATCAAATGTAACGTTATTTTAAGATTTTCTTTTCGGTCCATTTTGTATCGATGTATGTATTTGATTTTTATTTTTTCAATCATTTTATAGCCGTAATTTTCGGACTTGATTTTTTAGATCATAAAAGATCATAAAAAATCGGTCATAAAACCCCAGTATCTATTATAACGGTTATGATCGAAATAATCAAAATCCAAAACAACGATAATTTAAGCAACAAAATAACGATTAGATATAACCGAAAAAATAATATTCCAAATTTAAAGATTATTTTTGATCGACAAAAATAAAAACTCTAAAATAACGATTTTGCAGTAATGGTTATTTCCCGTCAACGGTTATTTTCCGTCCTTGTTTTAAATATACACGTTTGTGCTAAGAAATATTTTTGTTTGAATACTCTTTCGTTCTAAACTTAACAGATGTTTTTTTAGAAGTTTGGAAAACCAAATAAAAAATTAAAATTACAAAGGTCGGTAGGGTACTCACTAAAGGCCGAATAGAATTTAAAAACCAGTAGTACATCAATAAATTAGTTTTAGTATCTATTAAAATCCCCCCCCCTTCTGAAATGTTTTCATTGGAAGACTCAAGAATCTGAACTAGCAAGTCGGGGATGCTCTGTCTTTTGGTTGAAATCTGCAGTAGATTACACTGACCGGAAGTTAATATATAAATATATATTTTTACAACTAATTCGGATTCTACGCATAAAAATACGTAACGTAAATGAACTTTGAACATCAATTCGTCTAAAATGGATGCAAATATTTTTATTGGAAAACGAAAAATTTTGAATAACCAAGTCGGAGAACCTGTATCTTTTACTCCTATTATCGACTGCGGGATCGACCGGAAGTGGGTTAAACTGACCGGAAGTCCATTTTCGGAATAGCTTACACTCGGTTAAACAAACTTCGAACTCGGTTGCAAAATTTTAAATCGCTAATGACTCTGTTTGAAAAAATCATGTTGCTATTTTCTTAGTGTACTCGTTCACATTAATTTAAAATGTAAAAAGCGTTGTAAAATGCGCCGGTTTGCGCATTTGACAGTCCACAGAGTAAAGCGTTTTTCCTGTCGCACCCATCAAAGCAAATAGTAGCATCGGTAGCTGGTTAGCTGCATGTATACATATGTATATTAGCCTGCGCCACGCTGCATACAAGAAAAATGGGATCGCTTCTTCTTCAAAGAATTAAGTATAAAACAGAGTGTCACCAGCACATTTTGACTCAATTCAAGGTCATACGCAAGCTAATTCACGTTTAAAAGACAAATCCAAATAATGTGATGTATTTTGGAAAGATTTTCCGTCATCGCTTGTGAAATTTGGTTATACATATTTCTTTTGTTTATTTCATATTTATTATTATTTTTAAGTGCAAGTTATTGTCTAACAAAAACCATATAAATTCATGTTTCAAACTTTGTGCCAAAATTATAAAAATTTCGCAAAGTTGCAGCTAAACTTTTCACTTTTTAATCAAATTTTTTTTTTGAGTATGGCGTTTTATAGCCCATTTAATTTTAGTACAATAAAGTGTAGGTTTTAAGTTGCTAAAAAATCGCAGTAATAATTTTTTCCATACACAAAATATTTTCGGACATACTTTGTATGGAAGACTTTATTGCACTCAAATTTAATGGGCTGTAAAACTGGATGCCCAAAAAAATCTAAAAAATCTTATTGAAAATTTGCAAAATTAGATGAAACTTGGCAAAATTTTTATAATTTTTGCACAAAGTTTGAAATGTGAATTTATATGGTTTTTGTTAGACAATAAGCTGCACTCTTACAAAAAAAAAATAATAGATATTAAATAAACATAAGGCGTTCTATTATTTTTGTGTGTATAAGTATCTGTCAAGCTAAAATGTTTGTGAAGAAGTCAAAATGTTAAAGCAAATCTTTTATGTTTACTGTCTTTGTCTTATAAGGTTATTTTCCGGAAAAAAAGTTTCCAATTATGTTTCTTATTTTATCAAAACATCGATTTTTTAGTATTTTTCACGAAATGCACTGAATTGAGAAAAAATAAGCTTTATAAAATTGTGTGATGCGCTGCTTTTTAGAGTCATCCTAAAGTATCTCTGAATTTAAGTTATCTGTATGTACAGGCTGCATCAGCTACAACGACTGCCCATCGGCGTGTACTAGTCTTGTTTTTACGTGCACCTTAGACTTACTCAGGCTTAGCATAGTATAGTTTGGCGGTGTCGATATGTATGTGGATATTTAAATTCACACAAACATACAATTTTATAAGCAGCATAAATTTAAAAGTGTATATCCTGGTTAAAGAATGTTTTAGATAAATTTATGTCCCACAAAAGTGTATCAACGAGTGTGCAAATAAAGTGAAGTCGGAATTTTAGTGCTCTCACCCCCGGGATTGTTCCATACCGAAAAAAACATACCAGTTTTTTTCGAAATCAAAAAATATTTAGAGGCCGCCCAAAGTTTTCCATGTATTCTATATGGGGAAAAAACAATTTCGTGGAAATGGTATAGAATTTTTGAAAATCAATATTTTACGATCGGAGAACTCAGTTTCTCTTGAGGACACTTCAAAGAATATTAACCAATTGTTTATTTAATATTTTTTTGATATTATGCAATAATTGTTTACCCACAAAAAATACGCGGGTATATTTTTTCGGTATAGAACAATGCTACGGGGTGGAGCATTACAATGTGTACTTTATTTTTTCACATGCATTTTTGAACCACCCTAGTGTACAAAAGGTTTATAGTTGCATACATTCCTTTTTTCTTCCTTTCCAACCATTCTGCTTAGCACTTACTACCACTTCCCATCTAATTTCCTTTTTTATATAATTTGATATGCAATATGTACGAGTATTTCCATTTATGTATTTACGTTTCTTTTTTTTTTTATTTATTGCATTACTTATTTTCTTGTCATTTTCATTTCATTTCAGCTGCCAATACTATTTGACAAGTCATCCATGGGTACCAGCATATCAGGGTGTCATCACATTTTTCGTTTTGGCCAATTTCTCATTAGCGACATTCATGGATCCCGGTGTCATACCAAAAGGTTGGTAGATAATTAATTTGATTTGTTGGCACTTGAAAACTTGTTTTCTTCTTCTGTTTTTTTTTGCAAATTTTCTCACACAGCTTCACCAGATGAGGACCGGGAGGAGGAGTTTCGTGCACCACTTTATAAAAATGCCGAAATCAATGGCATCACAGTAAAAATGAAATGGTGTGTGACTTGTAAATTCTATCGACCACCACGTTGTTCACACTGTTCCGTATGCAATCACTGCATAGAAGTGAGTATAAGTGTTTTATTTGATTATACGATGGCTGTTACTGCATTTATGTGAGTGGTTACTACATCTATTTTTTTCTTTCGATTTTTATTACAGACATTCGATCATCATTGCCCTTGGGTGAATAATTGCATTGGACGTCGCAATTATCGTTTTTTCTTCTTCTTCCTAGTTTCGCTGTCCATGCACATGCTGAGCATATTTTCGTTATGCTTATTTTATATACTGAAAGTTACACCACGTATAAAGGAGCCATCGCCCATCGTAGCGTATCCTTTTCGAAAGTTGACTAAATTATTTTAGCTTTTTTATCTTTACATCACAGTTTTTAGTAGGTAGAATACTGATTTAAGGATTTAAAGAGTCAGTGGTTTGGTTTTGTTAAAAGAGTTAAAAAAAACTGACGAATACGGAGACGAATCTGAAGATGAAGACGAACATGTTACGAATACGAAGACGACAACGAATAAGTTCCCGCAGACCAAGACGAATTCGAATACGACGACTAATACGAAAACCAATATAAACCAAAGACGAGCAGGAATACGTTAAACGTTTTCTACGTATTTGGCCGAGTTTCTCCTCCAATTCTTGTTCTGCTTATTGGTGTTGTGACACACCTTTATTCCATCTCCGAAGAAGCTTTTTTATGGTAGAAGTACGTTCGAAAGTTTGCCATTGGCTGCCGAGGGGCCAACGATATTTGAAAAAAAAACTTTTTTTTATTTTTTTTTTTTTTTTGAGAAATTGAACCATGCACCTCCGGAGTGGCAGTAGGCACATTTAAGCAACTCGGCCATGGCGGCAAGAGCACTACTCAAAACCGAAAACAAGTCAGAAAAAATGCAATAAAGCAGTAGTATTTTTTTTTCTTAATTTTGAAATCGGGAACCGGTATTTTTTCAAATTGCAATTTTTTTAATAATTCGAAAGTCGGTTTTGGAAAAAGGTGAATAATCGAACACCCTACTATATATGTAAATATACATAGGTATATCTAAGCAACAATACTTGCAGGGCATATCTTGCAGTGCACTTGGCTTTCCTTAACTAGCGACTTTTACGCATCCGTACATAGTATGGTGCTGATGGCCATTGTTATAATCCTAGCGATTCCAATTTTTGGTTTAACCGGATTTCACATGGTGCTCGTATCACGTGGCCGCACAACAAACGAACAGGTTACAGGCAAATTTAAAGGCGGCTACAATCCATTCTCTCGTGGCTGCTGGCATAATTGCTGCTACACCCAATGTGGACCACAATATCCGAGGTATGTATGATGGTGTTATTCACATTCATCAAATGCGATTACACATATTAATATTCTCCGATTGCTTATTAACTTACGCATTTCCATAATTGAAATAAATTATGTTGCTCACATCCTACACCCGCTNCACCCACACATACACACATTTGTAGACCAATAATCGGTGGTTGGTTCTTGTACATACATACATAAAAACGTGCCTATATAGATTCATATGTTGCTGCATAGATTTTTCTCTCAATTGCCTGCATTGTTATTGAATGACGTGATTTCTACTACGTACTAGTAGTAGTATACTTTGCTTCCATCAATTTATTCCAATAGTTTACAATTTTCATTTAATACATTAAATAATAATTGAATATTTGAGCTCGAAGTTCTATATATAATTTCTTGTATTATTTTTCTATTTTGCACTTTGCACTAATTGGTGATTGCATTTATAGCAGTTTAATAGTGTTGTCACTGCCTGCCCGCCTGACTACGAGACAATATTTTTTATTCGAGTGAATATACATATGTATGTATTTTCTAATGTACAAATGGTTTTTTTTTTAACTATGGAAATTAATTTTAATTTATATAATATTGCACTAATGAACAGATTTTGCTTTTAATTGCTTGGATAAAATTTGCTTTTGTATGTGATGCATTGCTAAATTGGGCAAAGCAATTTGGATTAAGATTTGACTTCAAAACATTATATATTTTATATCATGATAGAGACATTATTATTGTTTTTATCATGTTTTATATTGTTTTATTTTCGATTGCGAAAATATATATTTTTTTATTTGTAAATATTCCGTTCGCATAAGTATGCGTGTATTCGGAAATCCATCAAGCCAAGGCTGCAGTCCCTTTTATTTCTAAACTATAATTAATGGAAACTTCCAATATGCGCAACCACGTTTAAATGCCTAATTGGCATTTCCATCAATTATAGTTTAGAAGTAAAAGAGACTGCTGTTTTGGCTTGATGCATTTCGGAACACACCCCTTGTACCCTTGTGGTCAGCTGGTTAAGTTGAGTAACATTTTGACCAGTTTTGGCTATTTTACTTTTGTTTATGTAATGTTTATTTTTTTTTTTATAAAAGTCTAGCATATTATATAACAAGCATCATATAAATCCACATTTCAAACATGGTACAAAAGTTATAAAAATTCAACAAACTATACCAATTTCCATCAAAAATTTCAAACTTTTTATTTAGAATTTTTATAAAAAATTTAGGTATGCAGATTTGAAGCCCATTAAATTTTAGTGCAAGTTTCAAGATGCTGGAAAATCGCGTTGATTTTTAATAATTTTTTTTTAGCTGACGTTGTTGTGCATTTTCTTCCATATAAAGTACGATGGACAATGGGAAATTCTTGTGTCCTAATTTATTCTACTAAAATTTAATTACCTATAAAACTTCATACCTAAAGTTTTCTAAAAAAGTTTGAACTAAAAGTTTGAAGTTATTAGGTGTATGTACTTAATTAGTAAAGTTGTTTGAATTTTTATAATTTTTGTACAAAATTTTAAATGTGGATTTATATGGGGCTTGTTATATAATATGCTAGACTTTTATGAAAAGTAATAATAAACATTACATAAACAAAAGTAAAATAGCCAAAACTGGTCAAAATGTCACTTAATTTAACCAGCTGACCACAAGTGTGGGTATACCGCAGCTTTCCTTATATTTATTTCTCTGGTAAATCATTCATGAGTGGTAATTAGCCATTAGCAAACTGCATTTAATTATAATAAATTAAGGCAGGTGATCACATTAATTTTTTTCTTGATTGGTGTAACCCCCTTCGCGATTTTGGCCGAGTCCAATAAAGCACGCCAGTTGTGTCTCTTCTATTCCAACTGACGCCAATTGAGAGTCCCTATTGAAGCCAAGTTCTCATCCACCTCATCCTACCGTCACAGAGGAGACCTTCTTTCATATGTACGACATGGCTGAGTTCATTCAGCTCATCGTTAAATCGTCTGCGCGATGCCTTATCAGATGTTTTCATTGTCCATGTTCTACGGTATTTACCAGCGCGGGCATGATGAGTGACTTATAGTCTAAAGTAGCGCTTAATGGCAAGGGTGATTATCCGTTGAATTTCAATGCTGACATTGGTTCTCAACTATATTTCCTCGTTCCCCACCAGACCCCGCGCTTTGCTTCTTTATCCTTCTTTCAGAAGGCAGAACAGACATTGCATTAATCGACTGATGGTATCGACGTCATCGGCACATGCCAGCAATTGGTATGATTTTGTAAACATTTCTTATCAGTTTTCTTATTGTCCCCTGCAACTTCAGCAAAAAAAAAACACACATACGATACGAGTTGCACTGTCTAAAACCACGTTTAGGTTCCAATCAGCAGGCATGGTTTCGTCAGATCATATTTCGCAAAGAAGTTTGTGCAAGCTCCCGAAAAATTGCTTATAAGATCCCGAAAAAATCCGTAAAGCGCGGAAAATTTTTAAAGTAAATTGCAAAGAAGTCCTCAAAAAGGCCTCTGGAAAACCTTAAAAATATAGAAACCTGTATTTTTTATGTTGCCACTTCCGATTTCCACTTGGTTTCCACTTTGGGCATTTTTTTTTAGTTTTTTTATCGGGAATTCGGCATTTTTGAAGTTTGTCTAGGTTGTAATAAAAGACTAAATAAAATCTATATTCTTTCGAAATACAAAATAATTGGAAATAGTCAAAAATAATAAAAAAAATAGTTGATTGGAAAACTAATTGCTTTAGCCTTTTTGATAATTTTTGATTTTTTTCTTAAAATGGTAAATGGTATGATTGCTTTTTGATAATTTTTAATCGTTAGGTAATTGTTAATTAAAAAGTAGGAATAATTGTAATTATTCCCTAAGCAGATTCTTAAAAAATATAATTACAGTTTAAAGCCATTATTTAACAGCTCTGATCGGAATTAACTCGCTAATTAGTAATGAGAATGTATATTTATTTTGCGATGAGAGTAAATATCCATTCTTATTAGAGTGAATTCCTATTCTCATGAGAATTATTCTCATCGTTTTCCAAAACGTACGTTTCTCTGCTTCGTGCACCGGGTGTGAAAAGTTGAATTTCGTCCGAATATAATAATTATAACCATTATTATCGCGGTTTAGACTTTCGGATGTCTGCCTTCCGGAGAACCTCTTTTTATAACAGAATATGAAATTGCTTTCTAAACTACCGCGCTTTATATTCTAACCGAGGTTTTATAATAAATAAACCCGTATTGAACGGTCTTTCAGGAAACTGTGAAAACGTGCTTGTAGAGTTCGATCTATTCAATGGCAGATTGCTTTATTTACCCAACAAATTTTCTCAATACTTATTGATATATCGAATCATCGGATTTTAGAGCTTTCGCTGTGCAACCTCCTTCTGCTTTTTCGATTATTTTTTTTTATTTCGGCACTTTTTTCAACAGTTTTACAATTTTTTTGCATGCGAAGTTGAGTTGTATTTTCCCCAATTTTTTCTGTAATTGTATGCATTTAGTAAATTGCTATTTACTATAATTGATATTATTTTTGATTGAATGCACTATCGTAATGGTATGCTATTATATTGTTAGACAAGCTCTTTATATTCAAATTGGTCAAAAACAAAAAAAGCAAATCAAAACTCTACACTAAATGCAAGCACCGAAAAAGGTAAAACGAATTAATTCTATTCTAATATTTCATTTTTTCTATATTTTTTGCGAAAATACATTCTATTATTGTTCATATACATATATTTGTTGCTACAACAACTTTTTGGAAATGATTTCTCTTTAATAAAAGTATCTACTCTTCATGTCATCCGTTTCTTATTAAAATTTCCATTTTGCGATATGTAATCTACAATATATTCTAAAATAACTACCTTTATTTGTATGTTGGTAATTTGAGCGATTTTTACTCGTATAAAGTTCGTGAAGATTTCATTCATTCATTCAAACATCAATCATTCAATTGTTTCAAAAATCAATTTGAAAAGAAGGCTCATTGAAGAATGAACAGTTCTCATTTATCATTTCATGGTTTTATTTTCCGTTAACCTACATACATACATACATACAAAGATATATATTTTCGCAGAACCCACCACGACGCATAAATGGCATTTTCAACAGGCTTTGAAGTGTTTTTATGAGAAATACTTGCAAGGTTTTTAAATACTCTGGAAATGTCTCGATATTAAATAGTTGTAGGTAAGTTTTGACAGGTGACGACTAAAAATCCCTTCTGAGCAAGTAGTGATAGATGTGGAGCTGTAATCATCTCAGTTTTTTCCTCTCGCAAGACTATGGTCCAGACGCGGAGCTCTCAGCCACCGGTATTAGACACATTCCCACTTTTACCAAGAAGTGATTATTATTCGGAAATCCTATCAATGTTCGTTTCCTATAAGTATACAAGGAGAAGTCAAAAAGTTAGAGAAATAAAAAGGGGATGTAAAATTGTATACAGTTCCGGTTAATAAGATAGTAGCAAAATTTAAAATGATATTGTTTGCAACTTATGTTTATTTATTTATTTTTAATAATTTTCCTTATAAATATAGTTCGATCTCTAATAGAAACCGCATAAATAACGGGTTCAAAGCTTGCACAAAGTTCACAAAAATAAATAATAAAAATAAAAAAATAAAATAAAATCATCAAAATTTCAAGCTTTTTATTAAGAATTTTAGTACAATAAAGTGCAAGTTTCAAGTCACTAAAAATTACCATTGATTTTTTAGAATTCTTATGTAGAGTGTGTTGAGCATTTTCTTCCATATAACGTATGTATGTATGAACAAAATGTATTTTTATTTTATCTACAAAAAAATTCTAAGAAATCAACGGTAATCTTCAGTGATTTGAAACTTAAACTTTATTATACTAAATTTCAATGGACTACAAATCTTGATGATTTTTTTTATTAAGTTTGATTAACTTTTGTGAACTTTGTGCAAGCTTTGAAACCTTTATTTATGTGGTTTCTTTTTTAGAT